CAGCAATCATATTCAGTTGTTCTCATTGATAAATTATATTTTCTTCTTTCTTTTGATAATTTATTTCTTGCTGAATAGAAGTTCCAATCGATATTAATTAGTGCTACAAACTGTGTTGAAGATACACTTGAATTTCATGTAGAACTAAATAAGCCAAATGGGAAACTTACTTGAAAAAATGATGATCAACAACCTGATTTTAATAATTCAAAGTATTCTATATGTTATTAAAAAGACAAAATCAAGATTAATTATTCTTCATATTAAACTATCTGATAAAAAAATTGTTTCTTTCTAGCTAGTGACAGTAGAACATGGCGTGTGCCAAATCTTCAGTGCGATTGACTGCTGGGATAGATTGTGGATGTGGATGTCTTAATTGGATGACCACCACACGAATATACGTACTCACGCCTACTTCGAAATTAGATCAACCCATTTTTCCATAGTAATCATCGTAACAATTACTAATCCGTATTTATTTTGGCAATTTTATGTGCAATTATCTAAACGACGATCGAATATCGTAATCAATTCATCTATAAAATGATCTTTTTATCATTGCTCATGATTGCCCGAATATCAAGAGTTAAAGGTGGAACTTCTATCCGTTATCCACAGACCATAATGCAATATCGAATACATAATCATTTTTCTTACATTGTCTTCAGTAATAGACCAGGAGTTCATTTCAAATATGACTAACAGATTTTGCAATTGTAAATGATAATCTGATCGAAATGAACTGAATTCTATAAACTGGGTAGGTTGTAGTCGTATTGAATAAACATATAATTTAGAAGTGACACAATTTTGAACAAATTATATGATTAATTATTGTAAATTGTAACTGTTCGTAATCTGAATGATCCAGTTGGAACGTTGATATGCGACATTCATCATTGATTCCAATTGGTTTTTGTTATCGAAATTTGAACATTCAAACTATTTTCGTACAAAAAATTTTAATTTTTTTTTCTCTTTATTTCTTATCGATCAATTACAATACGAGAAGAAAATATTAGCGGAAACCAAAACTAAATTGACGAATGTGAAAATGGATCTATATTTGTTATATCCATATCCTTTAACTGTATCAAAAACAATAAAACTCTGTTTCATAAAAATTCTCCATTTGTCACTACAACATGTATTTAATCGAACAAATGTTTTAATTTGTATTATATGAGAAGTTTTTTGCTTTGGAGGTTTATTTAAATATTGAATAATTATAAAAAAGAGAAAACGAAGATACAGAAAATTGATTAATTACTATTGTTCTTTCGCTTTGAAATAGTCGCCTAAATAATTAAAAATAATTTATTTTATATTTAATTTTTAAATTTTCATTTTATTTTACCTAATTTCTCAATAGCTTCAATGGCAATAGCTGGATTCATTCGATCATTGAATGTACCAACAAGAACGTAAACTTTTGTTTTAACTAGAATCAATCCTCTATTATTCTAGACAAGACAGATGACAAATGATTTATTTTAAACATTCCATAAGAAGAAAAAACCTCTACTCACTTCTTTAGCATAGATCGATTCATTATCAGCTCGAATACATGTATAATATACTTCATTAAAATAAAGACCTTTTTTACGTAAAATTGTTGGTTGATTGAATGCATTTACAAGTGTATCAACATCTGATTGTTCAAGCTATAGAAAACAAAAATAAATATTCGTTTTGTTTCTGTTGTTTTCTAAATTAATGTTCACACTTTATAACCAACAGAAGTTGTCTTGATTTGACTAGTATCACGTATAAGTAAACCACATTTTTCAATATGACCTGAATCAATTAATGCTGTATGTAGTAAAACTTGAAGTTGATTCATGATCGATTAGTTGGCTCGTTATTGTTATTATTACTATTCTCATATTCTTTTTTCTTTTTTTCTTTTTCTTTCTTTTTGTTTTTTTAATAGTAATGGCAGTAGCCATAGTCATAGAAGTTGCGCTGACTTCAGCCTCCTTTCTTTTTTCTTTATAATGATACTATTCCAAAAATCCAGATATTTACGCATGTAGTCCTTCGATACCACTAAATTGCAAGCTTCTTCATTGAACATAGCAACCATCAAGGACAAAAAGAAAGTAATTGTGTCATTAAGAATGTACGTTCAATGAATAAAATGTCAAGTTTTTTTTCACACTTAAATCTTCTTGTTAATAATATAGAATGACAATGTCATAGAGAGAAAAAAACAAAAAAGAAATAGTATATGTTGTTTTAAATATGTTTTGACAAGGACAATACAGTTAATGAGACTATTAAAAATGTTGCTTGTGTGCATAATTGAAAAATCCAAAGAAAAGTACATCACACTATTGATATATCATTGACAATTTAAATTGACAAAAAAATTGGGAGATCTAGTACTCCACTGAATTATAAAACAAACTGTTTTAATGATGAAAACTATATCCCAATCTTATGTCCAGAAAAATTTGGACAAAAAGTAGAATTATAATTATGAAAAATAGGACGGGTTCAAGCAAACAATTTCGGTTACACACATAACATGCACGAGCGTGGTACAAAGCTATACACATCAACCATAAATCACGATATACAATATAAGAAGAAATAAGTCGCTACATGAGTAGAAGTGCTAAGCGAACACGAAAATGTGTTGCTGAACGACAAAAAAAGAAAAAGAAAAATGAAAAATGAAAACGAAAATTTGTCTGTAAGTAAAATTCTAAACATAATTTCAAATAAGCAGATGACACGTCAAAGAAAAAAAAACAATCTAAAGATAATGATAATAATAATAATAATAATAATACCAATATCAAGAAACCACACGAGACAATAAATTAGTCCTATATTATTCTTGATATGACAATACAATGTTTATTTCGGAGTGTTTTTAGCTCGACGACCTGTAGGTTTTCGTCCAGTTGTACTTTTACCTTTCTGTTTATTACCAGCAGTCCGTTTAATATATGCTTTACCTTCCTATTAAACATAAGCATTAAATTACAAAATAAAAAAAGAAAATAGTATTAAAAAAATATTTACACGTGCTGTATTAGCCATTGTACCAAGTCGTTTAATAGCTGGTTTACGTCCACTTGTTGGTTTAGTTACTTCTTGAAGGGTTTTTTTAGCTTTAACAGCTGCTTGTCGTCGTTTAGTTTCTGAACGTGTATCACCAAGAACTTCTGTACCAATTACTGTTTTAGCTTCCTTTAAAATGAATAGAATTAAATATATATATATATACATAGTTGTTTTTAATGATTCACTTTGACATACTTTTGCTGTATTTTTCATAGTACGTGCTTTTGATAGTTTAGGTTTAGCTTTTGTTTTATTTGCAGCACTTGAAGAAGTTGTTGCTGTACCAGCACCAGCTGGACTTGATGCACTTCCTGTATCACTATCACCATTTGTATCTGATTTATCACGTGCATCAAGTAAGGCATTAACTCGATTTAATTTATCTTCACCCCATGTTTGTTTCAAAAATTCTTGACCAGCCTAAAAACAAAGAAACAATAAAGATAGAATAATGTCTTTTTTTGTCTTACAGCTGCAGTAGCCGCCATTGTGCCAGCTTTCTTTAATGGTGCTTTTGCGGTTTTACTCTTTCTAGGAGCCATTGGTTTACTCTCTTTGCGTTTATGTGTGCACGCGTATATGCAAAGTGTAATAATAGTAGAACGAGAAAAATGAATGAATATATGTCGAGAATATGTTTACCTAGAGCAGAATATAGATATATGTATATAAAAAGATAAAAATTTACAATATTAATCATTCAAAATTGTGATTTTTTTAAAAATATATTTAAGTCGAAAAGGGTGCATCAATTCCATAAAAAGTTTGACGTTAATATCTATCGTTCAAGGTGAGATTTCATATATTTAGGCTTGTTATGCGCAATATCTCATTTTTTTTTGCCTATGCACGTAAATGAGTGTATGTGGACACCGATAAAGTCAATAGAAATAGAAAGAAAGAAAGAAAAAGAACAAAAAAATGTCAAAATGGTAGCCATCATCAAAATTCTTCTCTAGTGTGGTCCTCTATATTGCTGTTATATAAGACAATGAAATATGTATTAATGAAAAGAAAAGAAAAATACTCATTATTATAAATGTCTAAGTTGAAAAATAAATGTAAAATTAAATGATATTAATCTTTTTTGATTAAATAAATGTTTCATGATATCAAAAAAAAAATCGACGCTTACTTTTCTTTTTTCTAAATTACTCTTCAAATCTATGTTGATAACATTTTATGTATAGCTTACAAAAAAAAAAGATAGAGTACTTAGTCCAAGCCGATTACATATTCATATAATAATTCTTTTTGTATAGTTTTCCTATTATCACCTCGTTAGACGAGCATGTCATGCAATATAATCCACATTAATAAATAATGAAATATTCTATCTTAAAAAAGAATAGATAAAGCAAATATGTATTTAAATTAATCAAAATGGTTATTTTTTGTATTAAAAAAAATATTTCTCAATCATCAATCGTAATATATAATTCTAAAATTGTTGTGAGTTACTTGTTTTTTGCTTACTAATATGAACACACTTAATATTCAAACGTGCATGCTTATCTAGAAGACAGACAACTATAAAATATTGGTTTTTGAAAGATTTCGTTGTATATTGACAAGTTAATATAAAGAAATAAAACCGAAACAAACAATTGAAAAACTTCTATATTGAATAAAACTTCATCTTATCATCGAAATGACTCACCTAAATATTTATAGTGGAAGATTTGAGGCTATGTTGAAAGGCGAAAGTGTATGTTGACTATTCTCTATAATATTCTACTAGGGTTATGGGGTTGTAAATTATGTAAGAGCTTGCGATAAGTAACAGAACAGAAATAAAATCAACAAAGAGGAAAAAAAGAATCTAAGATATAGAGAACGTGCATTTTCATCTTTCTATCGGGTACATCACACGCAACACATTATTTTTATACTAGATTAGTATTATCAACGGTTAAATTACAATGACTGATGGTCAGAATACTACTACTACGGCTTCGAATGTTCCATCAATAAAACTCTATTGGTTAAATGAAAGTCGTGCTGATAGAATATTATTTTTACTTGAAGAATTAGAATTACCATATGACATTGAAAAAGTTGAACGTGGTCCTGATAAACTTGCACCACCTGATTTAAAAAAGATTCATCCATTAGGAAAAAGTCCTGTAATCAAAGATGGTGATAAAGTTGTTGCTGAATCTGGTTTTATTATTGATTATCTTATTGATAAATATGGTAAAGATAAAAATTTAAAACCAATAAATAGTGACGATTTATTTCATTATAATTATGTATGTTAGGACTTTTGCTGCCTTTCTATTGATAAATATTTTCAAAAAAATTATTATTTTTCAGTTTTTACATTACATCGAAGGTAGTTTAATGCCTATCCTAGTTATGAAATATATCTTTCTTAATGTACAAAAACAAGCACCATGGATAGTTAAACCTGTTGTAAATGGTATTTGCAACAAAGTTGATACATTGTATTTAAGACCAAATATGAAAACTCATTTGGATTTTCTTGAAGGTGAATTAGGACAAAGAAAATGGTTAGCAGGTGAACAATTTTCTGGTGCTGATATTCAAGTAATTGAATTGATTTTTAAAAATTATTGTATATTTTTTATTTATTTATTTATTATTATATATAGGCAGGTTTTGCATTGGAAATGCTTATGAAACTATTAAGTCCTCACGAAGACAGTTCAACAAATATATCTCGATATTTAAAAGCAATGCATGAACGACCAGCTTACAAACGAGCAATGGAAAAAGTTGGAAAAAACGACAAGTAGCAAATGAAAATATTTATCAAAAACAAACTAAATGAACAAAATTGAATAAATCCAATGTCTGATTAAACATAAACTATTTTATATAATGAGAATGAATGTTTGCTTGATTCAGATTCTATAACAAAAGAAAATATTTAAAAATAAATTTTATAAATTAGTTTTACTATTATTTTAAATTTCTGTGTTTTGTAAAACGCTCATATTCATATAAAGATTCAATAAAATGCTATTTATTTATATAACTTCGCTTGTCATTCATTCGTTCATTAGTGACATCTTTATACATTCTTTGATTAACATTCCAGCCATTTGCCCTGTTCTGTATAAATAATAATAATATTTTATTTTCTATTTGTTCGTTTGTCAATCGTATCTTTATTATTATCATAAATAAAAAAAAAAAAAAGTTCATTTATATCAATGGATATAAATCATTGAAATTATTTATATTTATTTTCATAGCTGATTATATATCCTATCTTAAGATTGTCATGTCTCAAAGAAATTCAACGAATGAAAAATTAAAAACTAAAAATTCTTCATCTCCATCAAATCCTAATGATGAACAACGTTATTGTATATGTCAAAAACGTGAAGATGAACTAAATGACGATGATAATAATGATTTTATGATTGAATGTGATGGTTGTAATGGTTGGTTTCATGGTAAATGTGTAGATTTAGCTGATCGAATCGCTGGTAAAAGTTTTTTTTTTACATAAAATATTTAGTTGTAATTTATTGTTGAAATAGATGATATTGAAAAATATTTTTGTAATGAATGTTCAAAACAACAGGGACCTTCAATTTGTAAGCGAAAAAAAAATTACGAAAAAAAAATTTTTTTTTTTCAAAAATTTTATTTATAGTTAAACAACGAAGAAATCAACATCGAAGAGATTACAGTGATGCAAATGCTGATAATAAAGTAAATACAAAAAAATCTATATAAAAATTAAATACTTTTATCCTTTCTATAGCCAACACAAAGTGGTACACAAGATTTTATTAATAAATTAAAACGAAAAATATTTCCAAGGTTAGAAAAAAAAAGAATTTTCATTTGAATATAAAAATAATCTTTTTTTTTGTTTTTTGGTAAATTTTTAGTTGTGAACCTGTTATAACTCGTTTAAAAGGCAATCAAGTAACTGCTGAATATATAGCAAAAAATGGTTTTACAAAACCTATATTAGTGGCAAATCGAGATGGTCTCGATATGACATTACCAAATCGAACAATAACATTAGCAGAAATAAATGAACTTGTTGGTATGAAAGATTAGTTGTATTTTTTTTTTTTGTGTTCTATGAAATAAAAATTTATTTATTGTTTAGGACATGATCGTTTTATTGATATAATTGATTGTGAAAAACAAGTGACTTATAAAATGAGTTTCGATGATTATATTGAATATTTTGAAAGTTTTGAAAGAAATAAAATTTATAATGTTCTCAGCTTGGAAATATCAAATACTAAGTATGTATGACATTTGAAAGAATTATATTGACAGTCAATATTTTTTCTTCTAAATGGTAAGAAAATTTAACCATAAGACAGAATGTATCAACTCGGTGAAAGTATCTCGCATGTTTGGAACGATTTGAAGTCTTACAGTTCGTTGAAAATAGACGTATGGTTCGCGTTCGAGTTCTATGGGCTATTATTAAAGAACAGACGTCATGAATACAAATTTAATAAAAAAAAAATTATTTATATTTGCGTTTAGAAGTTAATAGATATAAATCAACAGTTCATTGTTTGGTATGACAAACTCAATTCATTTGATATTCACTACTTCCATAAGTAATGAAACAATTTATTGAAGTGAAACTAGTTTAACAAGAAAAATCACCTCATCTTAATCAAGAGTAGTGTTAGACTAGACAATTTGATATCTGTTGTGCCAAAGAAACATAGTTGTTCTATGTTTACTTCTGCTTTGAATAAGGCAGTTTATTCTATTATAATTCAATAGAGACAAAGATAGAATATGAACTACTATAGAAAATGAAACAGTTGATTGTGAATTTCAATCAAAAGCATTTTATCTAATTTTAATATTTGATAAATATAATAATAACATTAAATCGCTTGATTCGCTAATGACATTTTTGCTTATTTATTAGGCTTTACAAATAACTATTTTGAATAGTTTACGATTGTATCATGAATGTCTGTTTTTGTAAGAGACAAAAATCAGGGATCAATCTGGTTAAATCATTTTTTCAATAAGAATCATGTGATTGAAAGTCGAACTCTGTTTATGGGTATCATTTCTATTCATAGCATCTTTGCTTTTATTTTATGACTACCCAGGTGATTCTCGCTCGGTCGGATCCTGTCGAAGTTTCGTCGAAATCCCATGGTCTGGATTCCGACTCTCGGATCTGATCGGATTCGGGCAAAATTCGATGGGATTCTGTCAGATTTCGTCAGTTTTTATCGAATTCGGACCGGAATCCTGTGCAAGGGTTGCTTGTCTTGGGTAGGAAAGGACAGTTAGCTTCACTTTAAAAAAGCTTGCCACTAACTGAGTAAATTATCAAAAAAAAGATTTTTATCTCAATAACGCGTCTATTCGTTTCTAATTATGATCTCCCGAAAACAAAAAAATATCATCCGATAAACTATTGAATACATCTAACATTTGTTATTTCTCGAAAATTATTTTTATTTTTGTTTAATTAAGATTGGGTGAACAAGTTGTAACACCACAGGTTGTTCGAGATTTATCATGGGCTACAATTGGTGTATGGCCAATAAAGAAACAAGAAAAACAAGATGAAGAAGAATTCGATTCAAATGAAAATCAAAAGAAAGTAACATGGCCATTACAAACAATAGCATCATTATCAAAAAAAAAACGTCGAACAATTTCATCAACAGATACAGATCAAAGTGATGATGAACAATTTGAAAGTCTAGATGCAAATCATTTTGAAAATTTTGAACGTCCAGAAGTAGCAAAATATTGTTTGATGAGTCCACAATCATCATATACAGATTTTCATGTAGATTTTGGTGGTTCGAGTGTTTGGTATTCTGTCGTTCGAGTAAATTTTATTTTATTGATTATACTTTTTTCTGATATTAACAAAATTTTGTTTTGTTAAGGGTGAAAAGATATTTTATTTAATTGAGCCAACTGATGAAAATTTACAAAAATATGCTGATTGGTCAGGATCACCAAATGAATCGGAAACATTTTTAGGTGATTGTGTAACTCATTGTTATAAAATGCATTTACGTGAAGAAAATACTGTTTTTATACCACCTGGGTTTGTTTATTTTTCTTTTTGTTGTTTAAAGATTTTTTTAGTATGAATTATTAATAATTGCTTTTAGATGGATTCATGCCGTATACACAGTGACTGATTCGCTTGTTTTTGGTGGCAATTTTCTTCAATCAATGGGTGTTGATATGCAACTTCGGTAGGTTCACGTATAAACTTACGAAGAGTTTTCGATAAGTAGAGCGAAATTCAGTACAAAAGTCACGTGCGTTTCAAATCGAACTGAATTTTGGTATATATATATTTTTTTTTCGTTCCTTTAAAAATGTCTATCAACAAATGAGTCAATTAATGATAAGAGTTCTTTATGAGATACACTTTCTTTCACCATGCATAGATTTGTATTATTAATTCATAAAATTTAAAATGCAAATTTCCCTTGATATGTCTCAATCGATATATTCAATTTCTATGTTCTTCAAAGTTTAAGTATTAATAAAAACGACAGATTTATATTCGATCCTTATTCTCATACGGTACATTGATATTTTAATGAATGTGTAAGATCTTGCTTAATTTTTATATAACTTCAATATCATATTAGTCGTGTGTATGAAAAAGACAGAAAGAAAAAATGTCAGCATATAAGTTTATTAATATTAATACATTATACGTAAATAATATTAGAAATAGTAGAGAAAAAAAAGAGCAGTAATAGTCAGAACACCAGTAATGTGTCTAACAATAGGCTATTGGACAATTACACACTGCTCGAAAAGTTATTCGTAACCAGTTTGTTAGTTTCCATTTTTGGCTGACATTGGTTATCAGCAATCATTTGTATTCGCATGTGCTGAAATCGAGCCTCTTTCCACTGTATACATTTAATAAATTATCAAATATTTCGATGACAGCTCTGAATACGTTGATTTAAGCAAAGTGCTACTCTGATAAATATCATTAGTACGATGGTTATCTCTGTTAGCATGCTAAATGATAATAAAAACATATCTTATCCATTGATTTCATAGAATAAACAGCTACTAAGAATGACATTTTAATCCTATTCATATTGGATATAATTGTTCTTGATATACAAGGTGGTCCAAAAGTCACCGAGCGGTCTTTGATTGCGAATAACTTTTGATAGGAGCAAGATAGATACGTGCGACTTTCGCCATTAAATAGAGCAATTTTCGAGGCGTCTACCTATATAAGATTCCTTATGCTTGAAGAAGATTCCAATAGTTATTGCCAAACAGATATGGTTTTCGTTGTCCATTTTCATCGATTGTCATAGTAATTTTAGCTTAACTTACACCAAAATACAGGCCGAAGAATGCGATGTTAGCAATAAAATCCTTACATTTCAAAACACTATCCTTAAGATATGAGTTTGTGAGAATGTTAGAAATGTATGAAGATTTTATCACTAACTCCGCATTCTTCGGCCTGTATTTTGGTGTAAGTTGAGCTAAAATTACTATGACAATTGATGAAAATGGACAATGAAAGCCATATCTGTTTGGCAATAACTACTGAAATCTTCTTCAAGCCTAATGAATCTCATATAGGTAGACGCCTTGGAGATTGCTTTATCTAATGGCAAAAGCCGCACGTGTCTATCTTGCTCCTATCAAAAGTTATTTGCAATCAACGACTACTCAGTGATTTTTGAACCGTGCTGTATAATAATTTCGTATTTCATTTGTACTGAATGATATTCGTTGTGCGAGATAATATTTCTGTAGGTCATGATGAAAAGAGATGAAGGTCTCTAATCGAACGATAATATTTAGTTTCTCAGTTTCTTTAGTCCTTTGATTTTTTTTTCTTTAACGTATATGAATCTAAATGTAACATGATGTTTTTAGATAGTAGATCAACCTAGTCAGTACAGATAACATAGTGCAATATGGACGACCATGAATCGTCATTTCTATTCGATTGATGTAAGATAATATTATCTGATTGAAATTGACAAATTCAACCTTTAAGAAAAAAAAAACCAATAATTACCTTGATTTAATTGACATTTATCGATACAATCAAATTGATCTCCTTGTTCTTGAAGAATTCGTAAAATTTGTACGAGGATTATTCATTAGCTAGATCAGAAAGCGACACATCAAGGCTTTAATATTGTGTACATCTTGCATGCAAAATTTAAATTTTGAATACTATACAAATTGAATATCTCAATATTGAATATATCTGTAAATTCAATAAAATCAAAAGTTTAAAATTTTCCACTCTGTTACATTTATTTGTCTATTTCAGTATTTATGAACTTGAACGTCTTGCACAAGTTCCAAATAAATTTCAATTTCCACTTTTTGAAACATTTCATTGGTATGCAGCTAAAACATTTTATGAAGAACTTAAACGTAAATTAATTTTTTCCATACTATATTTTCTTAATAATAAAAAAAAAAAAACAAAAATCTATTTTATAGAATGTAATGAATCAGATTCATTAATAATCAATCCAATAACTCAACAAGCTTGTGAATCAATTATTCATTATATGAGTAAATGGTTATCAGCTGATAAACGAGTAAGAATAAAACTATTATTAATTGAAAAAAAAATATGTATATGCATATGCTTATTGTCATTGCTTTAACTAAATCATAGATGAGTTGAAAATAAAGTAATCTCTAAAAAAATTCTAGTGGAAAATCAATGATAGTCATCATCATATTCTATCGTCAGCATCACATAACATATTTGTACTGGTAATAATCATATAAATAAATATTAAATGTTGGCATTATTCTCTATTTGTACGAAATATTATTGCTTATTAATTTAATAATGATAATTATTTTCATCTTGCTTGATTTTAGTTCTTTTTTTTTTTCTTATTGTTATTTCAATTATCTTCTATAAAGAACAGTCAGATAGTCTTATTTTTCTGCTTTCCTTATCAAAAATTTTATAAGAATTGATTTGAATTCTTATTTTTATTTTTTTTTAGTATCAAATTCGAAATCGTTCAATTATACCAAAAGGAATTAATTGTGAAAAAATTTTACGTGATCTTGCACGTGAACTTGATCTAGCAAAAGTAAATTATTATACAATATATCGTATGCATCAGAATAAATATTCTTCTAAGTATTTTTTTCCATAGTAAGGTTCATCGCCATGATTTCATTCTTTTTCTTTTAAAATATTCACTATTCACCGGATTACAAATTTCGCTACAAGTTTCTAAGGAACAATAAATTAGATAAAAATAATATTGCAAGGTTTCAATAAATTTTTGTATCAGTACCTCCCATTATAAATAAATTATTTCTTTTTCTAAACTTTATAAAAAAAAAAGTAACGATTTTCAATCAGCGATTAAAAAAAAAAGTGTCATGGATAGTACATCAAATTGAAATGCAAGAATTTGAATAGGAGCTCGGTATTCGAGTGCATTGCACAGAAGAAACAAAGTCTAACGTGTTCTTAGCTTAGTTTTAATGAAGTCATATTTGTGTCAACAAAACGAAACTTTCTTCAAACGAACTTAAGTGTAACTCATACGAAAGAACACACTTAGTTATACTTGTACGAAGCTAAAAAAAATGGTTAACTGTTCTGAAAACTTGTGATACCTTCTTATAGACAATTGAATCGTCTTAGAAAAAGATGAAGACATGGCGATATTTAGAAAATACTTAGAGCAACATTTTTTCTGACGTAGCCATTACAAATAGAAAAAATAATATTTGCCTATTATTAGATACGTTGTGGTTCGTCATGTGTTTCTAAACCACCATCAAATAGCATCATTGCAAGTCCAATTAAAGTTGTACTTCCAATGGAAACAAAACAAGAATTGGTTCATCTTAATAATAAAGTTTGTTATGTTTATATCTATATATTTTATTTATTTATTTATTTATATTTAAAAAGATTAAAGTTAAATGTCGTCGTTTATCATCTGAAACTGAAAATATAAAAGATAAAGACTCATCAGTTGGTGCTGGTGTGAAATTAACTATTAAAACAACCTTAAGTGGTTGTAGAAAACCAAGTAGTAATAGAGAACTAACATCAAATATAAATAAGAAAAAAACTGGACGAACAGTATCATCTGTTAAACAACAGAAAAAGTAATTGAAAAAAAAAATTATTCATAAAATTTTTCTATAGCAAACAAAAATAAAATCTTTTTTGCAGTTCAAATATGAATGATATTACAGTGAAACAAGAAGAATCACCTAAAGTTACTTATACATTGGGTAAGAGTTTCAAACAAGTATTTATGAATAAGTGTAACTTTGATCTTATATCTCGTTTAGATCTCGAAGCCAAACGACAACGTTTTATTGAACCTGCAAATATTCAGTAAGTCGATTTCATTTTGATTATCATCAGAAAATTTCACAAATACGTCTATTATGATACTCTTCAATGATCATGAAGGTTAATTCAATAGTTGCAGCGTTTTATGTATCGATATGAGGAAAATTTATTCTTTGTTTGCTATGTTGGATAAAAGAAGGCAAAAAATTTGTCGCCATATGCTGCAGTTTTTAAGTTATGAAGTTGTAGCTCAAATGAATTGTTAATCAAGTGATCATAGCCCGAGAATGACATTGTATGGCGATGAATCTTTCTTAGTTTCTTGAAGTCTCATCAAGCTCTACAAATTATCATATATCCTACTGAAAACGGTGCCCATTATACTTCGAGAACTTTTCTTGTGAGACAAACAGCGTCAAAACTGATCTAAGAAATAGTCATGAACAAAAAGGAGCCAATGATGTTGATATACTTGTTTAGGCAGAAATCAAAATAAAATTTTATGTCTTAGAAATAGACTATGAATAATAAAAGGAGGCGTAATTATCACGGAAATATAATCTTATCGTAGTATTTCATGAGACACGATCTTTTTTTTTTGCCTACAGTTAAAATATTTTCCTTCTTATCGCTATTCATCGTAAAATGATTACAGTTCTTGATAAACTTTGTTAAAGTTATTGTGATAGATCTTTGAAAGAATGAATTATTAACCAGTCTATATAATCTATCATTTTGAGAATTATAGAATTTAAAGATTTCTTGATTCTATAGATCAAATCATGATGAATCTGATAAAGATACGACTACTTCATCAAATGATACAAATGTCTCATTAATTCCTCGTGAATCACATACAGATATTAATGAAATTCATGACAATAATGAATTGTTAGAAGGTATAGCTGATGGTGGTCTTGCATCATTTGTTAAAAGTTCTGCAATCAATGATGATTATTGTAAGTTTAAAATTTATTTTATAATAATATTTATTTTAAAAAATCTATTTAATTTAGATCATCCAAGTAAAGAAAGTAAAATAAAACGAGAACATAGTTGTTCGAATAAGAAAATTTCAATAAGTAAACTTAAGAAGTATCTTTGTATATTAAATATCACTTTATTTTGTTCTAGAAAAATCAAAATCAAAATCATCAACAGAAATAGGCAAAATAAATGTAAGATATTAGATTTTAATTTTTTTTTCTCATTTAAAATATTTATCTTTTATAGAAAATAACAAAAAAAATAAAAAACGAAGGTACAATTTAATTTCTTTTCTGTTGATTTTTATTTCTATGTGTTATTTAGACCAAACATCATCTAATGCCAATCGAAAGAAACTCTTAGCAACAACAACAACAACAACAACAGCAATTCCGAAGTCTTCATCATCAACAAATAATCCACAAGGAATACTAACAAATAAAAAACGTCTATCATCTTCTACACCAAAAAGACTTAATTCAAAAGATCGTCTTGGAAAAATTCTTAAAATAGCAAATAGCATTAAATCACGGGGTGGAATTCTAACTTGACTTATTCATTTTTTTTTTATTATGATCTCTCAGGAAATTTTTTCCTTATTTCTTTTTTTTTTTCTTGTGCTCAATATTTATATATATGATACTTGTTGCGTATCATTATCGTTTCATTATTTCTTTTTGAACCTTCTAATTCTTAAATGTATCGAGTTTGTTTGTTTGTTTGTTTGTTTTTCTAAATCAAGCTATAATTTTTGTCTTTTTCTTAAATTCTATTCAACGCATGAAATATTTCTATATAATAGATTAGTTTTGATGTATATAAATTTTGTTCTTCTTCTTTTATGATTATTCTGTATTATCGATTGTAACGATAGAAAGAAATAACAATAAAACAAAAAATGATGTCATGTATGACACTATTGCACAATTATGATGTAATCTATATTTATTTTGATTCTTTCGTTTTTCCATATTGATGATCATTTTCAATATTTTTCATCGTATGATGGCTACAAATACTTCTATAACACATAGTCTTATCGATATTGGAGCAAATCTTACACATAAATCATTTCAACAACATCTTCATCCAGTATTAGAACGAGCTGGTAAAGCTCAAGTTTCACATATTATTATTACAGGTACAAGTCTCTCAGGTAGTCGTGAAGCTATTCATATTGCTACAAAATATAATCAAGAACAACAAATTGTTAAACTTTATTCAACTATTGGTATTCATCCACATGAAGCTACACGTCATTCAAAATATAATTATCGAGAACAACTTGTAAATTTATTAAAAGCAAATAAAAATATTGTTGCTGTAGGAGAATGTGGTCTTGATTTTGATCGTAATTTTTCATTACATGATGATCAACGACATGTATTTGATACACAATTACAACTTGCTTGTGAATTTAATTTGCCACTATTTATGCATGAACGATCAGCTTCGACAGATATGTTATCTATATTAGAAAAATATTCACAACATGAAAATTTTCATGGTGTTATTCATTGTTTTACAAATCCGTCTTTGGATATTCTTCGACAATATCTTTCTCTTAATCTTTATATTGGTATAACTGGTTGGATATGTGATGAAAGACGTGGTAAAGATTTAGCAAAATTAATTCCAAATATTCCATTAGATCGTTTACTAATCGAAACGGATGCACCATTTTTATTACCACGTAATATGCCAAGACCTTGGCCAAGTCGTAATGAACCAAGTTATTTACCATATGTTGTGAAGAAATTAGCCGAATGTTATTCGATTTCAATCGATGAAGTTGCTAAACATACAACTGAAAATGCAAAAAAACTTTTTAATTTATAAATTCATTAAGATAAATAAAAAGAAAAATATGAATTTACAATAAATCATGCATCTCTATGATAAATATTATTTAGGGAGCTACATGAATTAGTTGAATAAGTCTAGTCATAAAAGCCAGTAACATATATCACAATCAAATAATTTTTCACCAATTAAATATTTTTTGCTTCTTATTCATGTTCGATAATAACACCTCAATGTAAAATAAAATTTTATCATTTATTTATCTTGCAAACTTGGTCTTCTCAATCGGATATAATATTAAAGAAAAAAAAACGCATGCTCAGAAAATATATCCTTTATAATAGTGACAGTGATTCTTTATGATGAAGCACATTTGTAAACCAAGAGTGTAAATAATATCGTATCGAAAAAACTTTTACACATACTTTTAAAAGAATTGTATGTTAGAAATAATAGAAATCTCGGTAGTTCAAAGTTGTGTTTATCATATAAAACAAAGATTAACTCTTCAATCTTCATTTTATACTCAATATGAATATAATCAGATATGGAAAAATATTTTGAACAAAACTTATATCCAAGTTATAACACTCTGCGCTAACGAATAAATATATCCCAGATATAGATGACTAATGTCGGACTTCCTTTGAAATGCCAGTCACCATTTTTTGAATAACTCTTCATTATTGATGGCTATCGAGTTCAGGTTTTACCCATTCGATAGGCGGCGTGGGAAGCATTTGGCTGTACGCAAGTCATTGGGATTGGAAACGTTTTCTATATATTTTTGCCAACGGATATCTTTTTTTGATTCATCATTCTCATAGTTTCTTTAGCAACATAGGCTCAAATTATACCAGAATGTAGACATTGATCGACACAACCGACATATATGAACTTCGCTAAGTAATACCTCTTTTATAAGAGAGTTCGTAAAAATTCATTAGAAATCGTCGTGGTTCACGATCACAATGGACACAAGCTGTGACGGCTCCCTGTAAACTACGCGAACACCTGCGAACATCACGCAATGAAAGATACCTTAGATCTACTTATATAGACAGATAGAACTCAATGAGTTGTGTTCACGAACACCTACGAACACCTACTTCGAATAGGCCCGAAAAAAGATTTGAATCATGCAAGTCAAGATTTTCTACGAACACCACTTATGATATCTGCGAACACCTCTCAAGCATGCTTGAAAATCTACGAACACCTGTCTAATGCAAATAAACCCTCATTGCAATCAATCTTGACGCAAAAATTGTATCACTTTATCGACACTGCATCTTCAAATATCTAGTAATATGTTTTTAACCACACTTTTACGTACATAATCGTCTACGAACACCAGTTATTTGAAAAGATCTCACTTGAAAATATAGTATCAAGTTATTTATGCTGGTCCCACTTAATACAGTTTATTAAAAAAATGATCAAAATGAAATAATTCAGTTTTGATTCAGTTTACTAAATGATTAAGTTAAATCAAAACTGAGTCATGGTGTTTTAATCATTTTTATAGAACGTTCGTATGTTTTCGAAGAAAATAGTGAATGCATCCTTTAAAGTCCAACTTTTTCTGCTCCTTCCCTCCTTCCATTACAGACACAAAGCAACAGAAGAGAACATTACAAACATATTTTCTTCCATCACTCTCTTCCGCCCCCCCCCCCCCCCCCCCACCCCATTATGGACCTCACCAACAGTGCACAAAAGGCTTTACATTCTATACAATAGTCAAATGCATTTATAAATATTTGAAAAACAATGTTTCAATTTATGAATAATCGATTAGGATAACAACTTGGAAGGATGTATGTGAGTTCCACATTTGAGCTCCAAAGAAGTCGCGCGAGAAGTTTTTATTGTTTCGTTTTTATTTGAATCATGTTAAGCAATTTGTACAATGCGTTTTCGTGGATTTTCATAAGCACTTTTGTGGTGTATGTAGACGATTATGTGTGTCAAAATTTGATAGAAAAAATATTGGCAGATATTTATAGAAATAGTTTCGATAAGATGGTAGAAGTTTTAGGTCAAGACTAATTGAAATAAGTGCTTATTTTTATATGTCTAGTGTTCACAGACTTTTAATCATATTTGAGGAGTGTCTGTAGGTATACAAGTCTTTTTCGTATACAATTTTTTCCGTATACTATTCGGGTCTGTTTCAGATCCGTTCAAAGTAGGTGGCCTTAGATGTTCACAAATACAATCCATTGAGTTCTATCTACCTTTTTAAATATATTTAACATATTTTTCTTTTTACGGCATTCGAGTATTTCACAGACAGTTGTATGCTTAGTAAAATGAATCAAAACTGAATTATTTCATTTTGATCATTTTTTTTTAATAAACTGTATTAAGTGGGGCCAGCATAAATAACTTGATACTATATTTTCAAGTGAGATCTTTTCAAATAACTGGTGTTCGTAGATTTTCTGAACCATTTTCTTGGTGTTCGTAGACGATTATGTACGTAAAAGTGTGATTAAAAACATGTTACTAGATATTTGGAGATGCAGTGTCGATAAAGTGATACAATTTTTGCGTCAAGATTGATTGTAATGAGGGTTTATTTGCATTAGACAGGTGTTCGTAGATTTTCAAGCATGCTTGAGAGGTGTTCGCAGATATCATAAGTGGTGTTTGTAGAAAAATCTTGCTTGCATGATTCAAATTTTTTTTCGGGCCCATTCGAAGTAGGTGTTCGTGAACACAACTCATTGAGTTCTATCTATCTATATAAGTAGATATAAGGTATCTTTCATTTCGTGGTGTTCGCAGGTGTTCGCGCAGTTTATAGGGAGTCAGCTGTGACCGTGAGGGTGTGGGTGTGGGTTTATCTATTTCCTTCATCAACACACCCACACCCAAAGAGCATTCACAATTCAGAATATGAAAGTCCTTATAATCGAAAGGCTCATTTCCAGCAAAATTCTCTCTTGTGGACTTTAGACCCTTCAGTATAAGAAGGTGCTAACATAGAGAGGTTTTAATGTACTTTCTTTGGACTCTAATGCACTCTTGCATTTATTAGGCTCAGATCTTTCCACCTTCGTTTTGGCACACTTCAAATAATATACTCTACAATTCATCAGGTTCTATCAGGGTCCATTAGGATCCATCAGGTTTCACAGAGTCTATAGGATCCATCAGAATCCACCAGGATCCGCCAAGATCCATTATGATTCACAGGATCCGCTTTTCCCCTCTCGACCAGATATCTTACAAGCGCAGAGCTTAGATTTTGGCTCAATAGTCTACAAAAGTTTTGAAAGATTGGATGATACTTCGTGCAAGAATAATAGATTCTGAAATCGTTTTCGATTTATTGCAAACATCTGGATGCTACTTTTATAAAAATTCCAGTTTTTCTTGAATAATCATTTTCCAAAAAAATGGGTAATCTAGCATAAATAACCGAATGAGATATTCAATTCACAGAAAATGAAATAACACCAAGATTTTACTTTATGTCAAAGTCATTTTTCGAATTTACACTTCTCTTGTTTTGTATTGATACAATTCATTATTATGAGCACTAATTGCTCAACTTTTTCTTTAAAGTCATTCATTAATGTAAATTAGGATAACACTAAACTGCTGTTTTTTTATATGATTGTTTCACATCATATACAATATATAAAAAAATGGAGATTCAATTACAAAACAACAAAAACAAAACGGAGGATGACAATGAAAAATAAGGAGTATTGCTTAAATAAGTAAAATCAATATTGCTTTTGTTCAATTTTTACATGGATTTAATTTTCATTTGTTTCATTTTTGGTTGTCGTCGTTTCATTTCACGTTTATGTTCTTTTTCTTCCCATTTACGTTGTTTTTCTGGATCATCAGATTGCATAATTTTTTCTTTTTCAACCCGACGTTTTTCTTCACGTCTTTGTTGTGCTTGTTCTTGTCGTTGTTGATAAACATTTTTTAAAAATTGTTCTTCAATACGTTGACGATTTTTAATTGTTTTACTTTTCGATTCTTTTGACGTAAAACGAAATGAACTAATACGATCAGCTAAATACAATACAAAACGTAAATAATCACTACTAATAGTTTCTGTTGTAACTTGTAATGAACGATCATTAAATGCAATTAAATTAAATGCAACAATTAATACACGACGAACAGAACGTTCACTTAAATTTAATGCATCTTGTTGTTGTGTTGCACTATCATTATTTGATGCAACATTAGAATTATTTGATGACTGTTGACTATCATTTTGTAGTTTCATTCCTGTATATTGATCACTAATATGAATATATTCAAGTGCATCTGGAAATCTAAAGAAAAAAAGAAACTGAGAAATTTACTCAACTAAAACTATAAACTAAATCTGACTTGTCTATAAAATCTGCTACACGATTATCAATAATAGTACTTGACACTTCACCAATTTCACTTAATATTTGATAATTTCCACTTAAACCACGTTTGTCAGCATTTTTTCGTTCTGAACAAAATTGACTAAGATCATTCATATCACGATGTAATTTAGCAGCTGTACGTTTTTTTGCTAAACAAAATACAAATGTTTCCATATCATCTTTATTATAATCAATGGTATAAATAATCATATCATTGATTGATTTAATTAATGCAGCCAATGAATTAAATAAACATTGTCGTTTTATAAAACGTATTTCAATAAGCATACTTTCAATTGATACTCGACCACTACACCAAAGAATATATAAACTTTCAGATTCTTTATGCATATTATTTAATATAATATCATTACTTGTTTGTTCATCTGTTGATTGTATATTACGTGTTTGACCATTATCACCAACAAGAGAAAAATTTCTTTCAAGTAAATCACATTGTGAATTATAAATAGTTGTTGCTAGACGAGCATTTTTTGAACGACCAATTAGAAAATTTATTAAATAAATTAATAATGCAATAATCATTATTGCTTCACAATGATATGCTTCCCAACGATTGCCTGTTAAATTAGCAGGAACTTCAGCAATTTTAAGATCTGGTATTGACGATGACGATGAAGATGTAAATGAATCAGACTAAACAAAATAATATGAAAATTTTCATTTCAACAAAACTCTCGTTTCTCCTAGATAATTTCTAATTATAAGTATAAATCCTATGCTAACATTAGACATAAGTAGAACTATCTTGCTCATACAGGATATTTCAAATGTCTTGAAGCAAAACCAAATTAGTTATCTTCTCTTGTAATAACATAACGTGAGAATAAGAAATTTTCTCAATGATTACAATTTATTTTTATTTTTAGTTACTCAAAATTTGAAAATTATTCATGATCAAACTTGATTATGAAATAATTCAAAATACAATATATTTCACTGTGGTTACTTAGTACACAGCTTACTTGGACATGTAACCTCTAGATCATGACGAGCACCAAATAAGATAAATAATGATTAATTTCTATTACGCTATTTTTGTTATGTAAATTGGTTCAATGTGTTGTTAAAAACCCATATTGAACGATGGCAAAAAATTTATCCTCCCTTTCTCAAGATACTATTGCAAAAGAAGATACCATTCAATAATATGTCATTCAAAAGACTGACATGAGTACGCAAAGCTCATAAAAACAACATTTAGCTAAAAGAATGGAATAGAAATTATAAATCCGTTGATACTGAAAAAATTCTTTTCTTTCTATTTATTAACAATATCAAGAAAATATGTGATCATAAAATACCGTGGCAATTTTAGGCATCAATTTGATTAATTTCAGAAACTAATTTGTTTTTTTTTGTATCAAGTCTTAGTTTTGAATATCACTCATTATATTTTCACAATTTAATATTTTCCAAAATGAAATCGAAAAAGATTAGATTAACACATGTCTAAAATCATTATTGAAATTTGATCATTTTCTTTGAACTCTCAGTAACAACAACAAAAAAAAAACAAGATTACATCATTCACATTGACCTTTTATCTTTATCTCGTAGACATTCTATTATCATTATAAATACAAAAAAAGAAAGAATATGTTCTTAATACTATCTAACTAATTTAACTGAAGAGATAAATCAAAGTCAATCTAATATTTTCTCTATTATTCACACTCAAAACTAAATTTTTACCGCTTCAAATTCTTCTTCATCAAATATAAGATCATCATCATCATCAATAGTGACATCATCATTGATTTTTTGTTCTGTTGTTTTACTTGATGATGGCTGAGATGATCCATCATTATTTGTTAGATCTGGTTGATTTGATTGTGTTTTAGATGGTAAAGGACTAGCACCGGACGGAGATGGAGTTTCTACAATCGATGTATATAGATACAAATTTTCTTTCTAAAGTAAATTTTATATGTCATACCAACAATAAATTCATCTTCATCAAAATCATCAAATTCAGAAAAATCTTCATCTTTAAGTTTTTTTGCTGCTGACCATACAAAACATAAAAGAATATTGAATAAAACAAAAAATATAGTAATAGATGAACGCATATTATTGTACTATCTTTTTCTTTAGAAACAAAAATAATGTATTTTCCGAACAATAAGCGAAGATTTATTTTTTTTTTTTCTGTTCTTATTTCTATTGGTTTATGAAATCGATCCAATAAAATTTTCATCATAAAAAAAACTTTTCTTATATATTCATAAAAGTTTATTTATAGAAGAAAGTTTAATTTAATTTTATAGGATACAGTTTTTTCTAAGTTTTTAATTGAATAAAATAGATAGATGGAAGCATACAATGGAAATCAATGACCAATGAGAAATCACAACGTTTTTTTTGTCTTCATTTAATCACAACAACGGACACTCATTTTCTTCTTTCTCTAACCAGTTCAATCGACCTTTTCGATAAACAAAAAAAAAAAAGAAAAAGAATTGAACGTTTTTAATTCTATTTTAGATATTAACATCAATATAAAATATATTGACATCATGATCTATAACAATAGTTAACGTAATTGTTTATATTTACTTTCCTTTTTCAGGTAAATTTATTTTGTTTGATAACACGATACGAATACTAATCATGATATGAGATGTTATAAAAAAAAGAATGAGTGGTTTCTTTTTCATGTATGTATTTATGTTGAATGGGTATAACTATGTAAGAGAAGGTATCTGTTTTTCTTCGAGAAGTATGTTAATGATTTTCTAGATTCTTTGTTTTTATTTAATTTTTTTTTGTACATGACTGAAAGGGACAGGTACTAAGTCATTAAAGAAATGCAATATTAGAGATGACAGTTCTCTTTCTGTCTCTCTCTCGGTTGTGTGTCATATTCATTTCTATATACGGAAACAGAGATAATCTATGTCATTTAGTTTGTTTTTGGGTGAAGATGTCGCAACATTTGCTTGCTCGATAAATGCGTCGATTTATCATAAGAATTCCCATCAACCATTGCCTTCATACTGTGCTAGCACATAGTGCGGAGGAGAATAGAAAGAGAGAAGAAAAAAAAAGAGAGAATACGAAGACGTAGTGGAACTGATAACTGCATGTTTATTTCAGGTTGTTGTTGTTATTGTCGTCATCTCACAGATTCTATATCGACATAAAATAGCACGTTAATATCATATATACTATTCATGGCTCGAGTTGTTCGTAATAGCAAATTTCGGTAATATGATTTTATTGTTTTTTTTGTTCGAATTTAAATAGAAGAAAAAGTATTTTTTCTTTTCAAGACATGTATTTGGTCAAGCAGCTAAAAAACAAGATTGCTATGAAAATATTCGTATAACAAAAAGTGCATGGGATTCAACATTTTGTTCAGTTAATCCAAAGTTTTTAGCTATTATAACTGAATCAGCTGGTGGTGGTGCATTTCTTGTTTTACCATTAGATAAAATTGGACGTATTGATCGTGATGTACCATTAGTTACAGGACACAAAGCAGCCGTACTTGATATAGCTTGGTGCCCACATAATGATAATGTTATTGCAAGTGGTTCTGAAGACTGTACAGTTAAAATTTGGCAAATACCTGATGGTGGTATAACATCAACTAATTTAACACAACCAGCTGTTGATCTTGTTGCACATCAACGACGTGTTGGACAAGTGGTTTGGCATCCAAGCGCACTTAATATTTTACTTAGTGCTGGTAAAAAGTTTGTTTAGTTTAGAAAAAAAAAACAGCAAAATCTTATGTCTAGGTGGTGATATGAAAATTTTTATATGGAATGTTGGTAAATCAATAATATTAACAACAATTGAGTGTCATCCAGAAGTTATTTTAAGTGTTTCATGGAATTATAATGGTTCACGTATTGTTACATCATGTAAAGATAAAATATTTCGTATTATTAATCCACGTACTGGTCATGTTATTAAGGTTAAATTAATAAAACAAAATGAAAAGAAAGCTAATTATTTTGATGTATTTCTAGTCCGGAATGGGTCACCAAGGAGCTAAACCTGCAAGAGCTATTTATTTACGTGATGGTCGTATATTTTCTACTGGTTTTTCGAGAATGTCAGAAAGACAATATGCTCTTTGGGATGAGGTTTTTATAGATAATGAAATTGTTAAGAAAAAAACTTATTGATATCTTTTTTTTTAATTGTTTTAAAAAGGATCATTTGGGTAATGCTTTAACAATGGAAGAACTGGACTCCTCAAATGGTATTTTATTTCCATTTTATGATGAAGATACTAGTTTAATCTTTCTATGTGGAAAAGTAAAATAAAAAAGAAAAGAAATTTAAGAGAAACAAAAAACTTGTTATTTAGGGTGATTCAACTATTCGATATTTTGAATATACACCAGAAGCACCTTATATACATTATATTAATACATATTCATCATCAGATCCTCAACGTGGTATGGGTGTTATGCCTAAACGTGGAATGCATATTGCAACATGTGAAATAGCTCGGTAAAAATTTTTGATTTCTATCATCGATAGATATTCTTTTTTTTTTTGTTTATATCTAAAATTCTAGGTTTTATAAATTGCTCAATAGTGGTCTTTGTGAAGTAATTTCATTCACTGTACCACGCAAAGTATGTTTTGTATTGAAAAAAAAATTAAAAGTTAAATTTATTATTTGTATTTAGTCTGAACTTTTTCAAGAAGATCTTTATCCTGATACAGCCGCTGAAGAACATGCTATAACAGCTGATGAATGGATTGAGGGTAAAGATGCTAATCCTCGTTTAGTAAGTTAATTGAAAATATGCTTGTGTTATATGAATATATAGATATATATGTATGTGTTTAAATTCTTAATTAGGTTTCTATTCGTGATCTTCATTCGGGTACAAAATCTCAATCAAGTGCAGGTGGTGGTGGATTAACTCCTGGTCATGGAGCACAACAACAAAAACAAGAAATTGTTTTTGGTAAATCAACAAGTCAAAAACCTTCACCAACATCTCCACATAATGTCACACAACAAACAAGTGCTAATAATGGTGGTGCTACTGTTCAACATGGTCAGGTATATATAAATATAGTTGTCTTGTTTATTTACTATGAATATTTTAGAATGATTCTTATTTTTTTTTTCTGTTGTTTTATTTTCATAATTATGAGACTTTAATTTTTAGCATGTCGATAATGAATTTCTTGATAAACTTGTTGAAGAAATGCGTCGAGTGAAAATAATTGTTAAAGGACATGAACGACGTATTAAAACGTTAGAAGAACGTTTATCACAATATGAAGCACCAGTTGATGATCTTGATGATTAATATTTTATAATACAAATAACAAATATGTTCTTTCTCTTTTTCTTCTTCTTTATATCTCTTTTTTTTTCTTTTCTCTACTCTCATTTATTTATTTTTCAATTTAATTACCTACGTGCATATACACATACACAATATATATACATTCATCTTTAATATTACCTTTCAAATTCAGTAAGATAATTATTGTTTTGCTTGTTTCTATTTGTGGTTTTAGTTGTTTTTATTTGCATGTGTGCATGTTTATATTGTGTTCTTGAGAGATTTTAGGAATTCATTTTTGACTTCCGACGGCTAACTCTTTTTCTTTTAACCTGATAATACCTCCCCTTGAAACATAACATATATATCACCTTCTACTAATATCTTATCTTAACGTACATATTTATATATATAATTATTTTTGAAACAATGTATAGAAATTAATATTGTTTTTTTTTCTTTTCATTTAGAGCGTTATAAAGTTTGTTCGTTCAAAATTTTCCCCATCATCAACTAGAACCCAGCAAAAATCAAATAATAAACAATATGACAATATCCTTTATCAATTAGATATAATAAATCGTCGTTTGAATGATTTTGATCATCGTATGGATGATTTTAATTATCGTTTAGAACTTCTTGAAAAACCATCGATGAATAAACAACAACGTCAAGATTTAACGTTTGAAGATACAAATAATAAAATCACTCATTTTAACGATGATTCTAGATTGTGATTTCTTCGAAAATTTTCATGTGTTTTATGCATGTAGTCATTTTTTTCTTTTGACTTTCTGCTTTTCCTTTTTTTTTTTTTTTTGTTTTCTTTTTCTTTTTTGCTATTCTGGTTCAATGTTGAATATTTGTCTATTGAGCATTTAACATTTGTGAAAACAAAACAAATGATCCCTTGTACCTCTTCGTTCTTTATTTGCTCTGAGCTACACCCGGTGCTGTTATACGTGCTCGCAATCACACATTTTACTGTCTTCCGTGTTTCTTTTTTTTTCTCCTTCGTCGCGTTTTTTTCTTATCTTCTTCTATTAGGATTACCATTGTACACATTGAGAATCAAACATGAAACAAAAAAAGCATTTCTCAAACGAACGTTTCTTTCTTAAATGTTTAAACAAAGTATTTCATAACATCAAAAGAAATGAATTCTTTAAAAAAAATATTTTAGATGAAAATTAATTCTATTACTTCTTTATTAATTTTATTCTTATTGATATGTATAGCAGATTTTATATTAGCTGGGTTTGTAATTGAAAATGTTTTCGTTTTGGACTACGACAATTATTGACTTCCTTTTGATTTTTGTTTTGATAGACGTGATTTTTATAAAATATTAAATTTACCAAGAACGGCAACATTAAATCAAATAAAAAAATCTTATCGAAAATTAGCAAAAGAATTACATCCGGATAAGAATAAAGATGATTCAAAAGCACAAGAGCGTTTTCAAGATTTAGGAGCTGCTTATGAAGTAAAAATTCTTCAATATTTGGAAATAATTTATTTGATTTTTGTCGTTTTTTTTTACGTAGGCTTTATCTGATCCTGATAAACGTAAAATTTATGATAAACATGGTGAAGAAGGTTTAAAACGGCAAGGTGGTGATGATTCATTTCATGATCCATTTTCAAGGTAAATTTTGTTTACCTAATAAATAAATGATTTAATAAGTTCTTTGATTTATTTGTAGTTTTTTTGGTGATTTTTTTCATTTTGGTGGTTCAAGAGATGATGGACATAATCAAGTACCACATGGTGGAGATTTAGTTGTGGATTTATATGTCACACT